TGTGTTAATAAAAATAAAATAATTACTAATGCTAATAAAAACATCTAATAACAAATATATAAAACAACTACTGGTATACAAATCATAAGTAATTCAGCGAGAGATTTATTTTTCTCAGGTTGTGTATTAAATGCTAAGTCTTGTCATCTCTTCTTTAGATATTATTCTTGTCTGGATGCGTAGAAAAAATGTGTTGACCCTAGTGTAACTGATAAGCTTTAAACCCCACTGACCAACCAAATGGTAACAATCCTAATATAAATCACGTCTCTTAAATTCAGCGAGGTAGATAAAGACCCACAAAACATCGTCGATGGTCAATAAAATATGGGTCATGAGTATAATTTTTATACTGTATAAGAAAAAAATAACATTACCGTCAAGTATTTATATTCTCATTTCAACTAAAAACAATGTCAACAATATGATTAAATGAAAGATCTTCAAAATATCTTTATTGGACAGTTTTCTACTTTTTACTATTTATGAATGCAAAAATAAAGATTTCGTTTAGGAAGAGCATTGTGCACGAGGCCTTAGCTCATATCAAGCAGAGCATTGCCAGTGGTCTTGATGACCAGGCTTTCTGTGGGCTAAACGACCATGGATGGTATGGTCACCAGACCTGGTCTATTGAACCAGGTATGTTTTGTGTCATAAAGGCAATCTTCATTTAAATTTCTAAATATAATTATGGGGAAAAATTATATTCGTAAATATATATTAATTTTATTAGGTATGTTTCAGCTTACATAAATTTTTGAGAAAATTTATTTAAATTTTACGCTGGCCGGTGCAATAAAATGATTTACGGAATAACCTTAATGGAATCATTCCATAAGATTCGCTATTTATTTGCCGTACCTTCCTCCACCACCATAACCGCCGCCGCCGCCCCCACTTCCAAAACCGCCACCAAAGCTGCCACCGGATCTGCCTCCGTAGCCGCCCACCACCACCGCCTGAGCTACCTCCACCAAAGAAGGCGCCTCCACCACCTCCTCTGCCTCCGAAAACCGAAACCGCTGCCTGAAGAGCCACCGCCATAGCCTCCACCACCACCCCCGCCACCCCCACAAACCCCCACCAATGACGAAGATAACAGAGCCGCTTCCTCCACCTCCTCCAAATCTCCACCTCCATAGCCACCGCCACCGCCACCACCACCACCCACCTCTCCTCGGCCACCTGGATTAGCGAAGGTGGTCACGGCCAGGGAAGCCACGACCAGGGTAAGTAAACACCAGTTCTGTAAAATGAATAATGAACAAAAATTAATAAAGAAAGAAAATTTAAATCCTTTTCCCTCACTAACGTTAAAAAAAAAATACTCAATGTACCACCAAAGAACATATCATTCCAGCTCAGAAAAAATATTAAACTGCATAAATGACATATAGTCAGAAAATGCAACGTTTTCAGTGAAAATTTGTGATAAGTTCTACCAGCAATTTTTTAATCATCTGATCTTTTTTTGCTCACTTTAGACAGTGTGCTCCTAGCACCAGTAGTCTAACTTAATCTACATATCTACCAGGAGTTCTGGTTTGAGATTGGGCAACGAGAACGATGTCACTGACCACCATTAACAGGAATTTGGGGAAGATTGAAGCAATCATAATGTTTCCAAATTTTGGGAAATAAACTTGAAAACTTTCAATTGTTCTGATGAGCTATTAGTACACAGTAAAATATTTGTTTTACTACAAACATAAATATTTTATGTCGCTGACAACATAGTCTGAGTACCTATTAATAGATTTAATGACAGACACGCATAAAAATATTTTCCTTATATATTAACACCTCTTAATGAAATCTGAAGAGGTGGTTTATTCGCCAGGAAACAAAGCATCCCTCAGATGAACCCATAATCTGATAACCCGCCTTATGATTAAACATTGCAAGTCTACAGGAGCTAATATTACACCAGTTTCCAAAAACAAGGGTATCTAAAAAGCATTTTGATTCTCAGCAAGTGCTAAATTCTCCATAAAACTATTCCTCTTAAAGAGTAAGACATAAAAATAGTTTTTAATATGTAAGGTAATTTTGTTCTTTAAATTTTAAACCTGATATCCCTTGAGCTTTATTTCTGTAGTATTTGTGAATGGGTGTTATTGCTGTCATATACATCAAATGATAAGCGACAGCATATTATTCATTTCAATGTTGCTATCAATAAAATCACAGCCTTATGCCTGCCCATCTACATTTTTGATCTATACTAGAACAAGACAGTGAGTAATTCCAAACAATGGGAGGAATAACAAGTCTTCCCATGTTGGTGTAGTCAGGCAGGAAGACCAGAAAAGGAATATGATGAAGAGCTGCGTAGTACAGAGCTTATATACCACATCTGTGATAGCCCAGCCACCAAACCTTTGGAGAAGTCACTTAAACCTCGATGTTCCTTCCCTGTCTCATGTTCTCCTACATATATTTTTATAAAAATGATGCAATTTTATTATTCATCGTATAATCCCATGTCAATATGAATGACTTGCGAACAGTGAATGACAATTAAAAATAAGCAGTGTCTCTGGGCACTGATTTTTCTTTGGATTTTGCTTCAAACAAAATTTCAGTATTATTTTATGTGTAATATATATTAGCAATTATTTTTGGGACTGAATGTGAATTATAACTAGTGTATTTATTAATTGTATAAGAAAAATAACTTTAATTATTTGCGACCAGATGTAAGGAACTCAGTAGAGGTGTTCTGGTACTTTACTGGTTTAAAATACTGAAGTAAAATATGAATTATTTCTGGAGGCCAAGTATTATAATTCTTCTCTTTCATGGAAAAAACCTAATTAACATTACTTTCGCCATAATATTTGCAATAATCGATGTATGATTCTAAAGTATCAGAAGATATTCCATTGTTTTCTTGATATGCATTTACTAGATCGAAGAATTTTACTAATTTTCGTCAAAATAGTTTTTGGATCTAAAGAGTTTTGAAACACACAAATATATCGTGACGGGGTCCAGTCATGTTTTACAATCTCGGTGATATTTAATTTACAATGACAAAAATTTGTGACGGTCTTTTTTAAAACTATATGCAAAAACATAAAGTGACACTAAAATTATTTCGGATTATATTTAGTGTCTTATTTCACTATTATTTTTTCTTATTTAGTTATATATTTATAAACGTAGGTATTAAGTTGTGTATATTATGAACTTGTGTACACAACGACAGATATTTATCTGCCAATTTAACTGGAACTGGTTGTAAAGGATGAAAAAGGTCATAATACCCTGACTGGAATACACAGATAATGCACATTAGGTACTTATCAAGATGTCTTCTGGTTTTCTGTGCGTTTCCTCTTACTGGTGACTAGACTATGGTCAAGGACTAACCCAAGCATCGTTAAAACTTCCGTTCCTATGTGTGGGTTATTTGTGAAGTGGATGTAAAACATATAAGTTGTTCAATACATTATCGGAGAACAGATAGGTTCGGGAACATTTGTCAGGAAACACGACAAGTGTTTCTTGACGAGGTCTTCAGTTATAACACGCAGCTGGAGCTTTTGGTCTTTGACCAAGGCCTTTCCCTGGTTTACGGATCAACCCCCTTTAAAAAGTACGACTATAAGTGTAAGCATTTAACAGTCGCAGAACGGAAACCTTTTCATAAAACAATCTCGGAGAACAAGCTTATTCTAGTTAAACATAGAATGTATAGGGGATATATAGTAAAATTTTTTATCAAACAAAAAAAGACATTTTCTAGGGATGACTCTAAAGCTGAGAACTGACTCCAAAAGGATTGCTTCTTAGTGTTTGTTTTTGTATAGTATTCGTCTGGAGGTAAAAACTAAACAGGGATCTATGATACTCTTCATCATTCACGAAATTTTCACATTAGAATTAGTTAAAAGACGAACAAATAAACCAATGCGCCATCTAGTATAATTAGTTCAAGAGAACATAAGACATGTCATGAACATCAAGGTCTTAGTGACGTGGCTCTCACAGGTCTGGTATATAAGCTAGGCATTACCATCGTCTTCATCATACGCCTGTCTTGGCTTCCATCCTGAAGACACCAATATGGTAAGACTTTCTAGTCCTCTCATTGTCTGAAGTGTGTCAGTAGTAAAACTCGAAGAGGTTTTTGGCAGAAGTATCACCTTATTGATGAATTCGAAATCAGCGGCAGTCACTGGATACAAATAACTGCTAAGTGATAAGATCAGGTCTAAATAAACACTTTTTAAGCAACTTGTCTTCATGACAAGCTTTATGAGAAAATATGGCTTACGATGAGAATTTACCTTAGGAACGAGCAATAAAATGTGACAGTGTGATGTGAAATATGATAGATGAACTTGGGTCGACTTTCTCTTACCAGGATAGGATGAGAATGAAAAACAAGAGACAAAGTAAAGAGAGGGAAGTCGAATTTCTTGACACGAGGATTTTCCCTGCATATTTCTGATGTTTTTCATATTTTTTTTCTATTATTAAATGTTTAGAATTAGTTTAAAAAAATTGTTTTTATCCCGGAAATCTATGCTATGGACACTCAAATCAAATTTTAAATAATGAGGGAAATTTTTTTCAATGCTCAATAGAGTTTTATACATATTTCTTCTGAGCTAACATATAAAAATTAATGGGAGTGGGGGGAGGAGATTATTTTGCTTTCTTATTTAAGCAAGTTAACTCTTGTAAGGATATTGATCAGTAAAATATTTTGTACTTTTTTTTTCAGAAGTTGATATTCCTCGCCCTGAGTGTGGCTTCTTTCGCCATGTCCATTTGGCGACTCCTGGCTTCCTAGGGGGTGGAGGAAACGGTGGTGGGGTTTTGGTTTTGGGTACGGAGCGGCGGCTTTGGGGGTGGTGGAGGCAGCTTTGGTGGTGGCAGCTTTGGTGGAAGCGGGGGCGGTGGTGGCAGCGGGTATGGGTAGTGGAGGAAGCTCCATCATTATTCCGGAGGTGGAGGAGGCCGCGGTTTCGGAGGTGGTGGAGGGGTTATAGCGGTGGTTCGTCAAGCAGCAGTTTCATCCGCGGAGGCCATGGAGGTGGTGGAGGCGCCTTCTTTGGAGGCGGAAGCTTTGGTGGGGCGGCGGCAGCTATGGAGGAAGCTCTGGTGGCGGGTTTGGAGGTGGTTCGGGTGGCGGCGGTGGGAGGCTTTGGGTGGTGGGCAGCGGTGGCGGATATGGTGGTGGTGGCAGGGGTGGCGGAGGAGGCTATGGCAAATAAAATGGCAATATTTTAGATTTATAGGATTTAGTCCATTCGTTTTTTGCCGATTTTTACGAAAAAGAGAGAATGTATTAATAAACAAAATTTTGAATGTACTAGAGTTTTTTTTCCTCATCAAATGAGAAACAATTTTTTTTCAAGAATACAGCTATATATGTGTGTTTACTGTAAATGGTATGGTGATTTTACAAACTGGGAAAGAACACTTGTGAACAGTTCACTGTGCTTCTTTAAAGGTCACATTTCGCCACGAATGGCTTATCATTATGACTAATGAAGCCCTTCGTGGCTACAATATTTCCACTAATAAGTGTCCTCAACTGCACCCCCGGTCTCCTTTTCCAAAGAGATATGTCAGGTAGGAACATTATTGCATTAATAATTTTCACGACTCACGAGATCGCTTTTAACACTTCAGAGAATTTCGAACTTCTCAATTAGTGATTGTTATAAATATTTTTTATAAAGCAAATCTATGCAATTATATTTATTAGCGAATGTAAAAACTCCATGATTTAGTGCTCATGAGATCTGATCTTAGCCTTTATTTGATGTAACGACAAGAGAAAATTAATTCAAACATAAAAGGTCTCACTAAAACAAAATCGATGTAATATTGCAATACCCGGTTAAACTACCCTGGTTACGAACACCAAGGATGAGCAAAAGAGTGTTACTTTTTAAGAGTCCATGACAGTAGTAAACTTGTGCGTGATACCATGAGGTTGTTGTCACAAAAGACAAAATGGAAACACATTAAGATACTGTATTGAAACATTTGAATCCTGTGAGCTTGGTTCTTCTATTTGGTCTCTTCATTTGGTGTAAACATGTTCCCAGGACAAAAACATTTCCATTATATTGTCCTAGTGATTACATTGTCTGTTGGTGATAACAGGTATTTACTGAAAGACTTTTTTGAACCTCTCACGTATATAAGCAAGCAAACCCATTTATAGAACTATTTTATATTAGATTTGCAGTGAATTGTTTCACAAAATTTTGAGTTACCTGCATTATATTTATTTGTAGAATATTAATAGCGTGTATGCATAGAGATAATACGACAGTAATAAGGAAATGTGTGAAATTTGTATCTCTTATTTCCTCTCAGTTTTCACGCAGGAAGATACTAGCGAAATTCCAGAATAAATTATGTAGAACAGGACGAAAATAAACTATGCACGATTTGGGTAACTAGTGACATGGTCCTCCGACAAATAGAGAAATTAAAACAGAACAAATCCCCAGGCCCTGATGAATTGTGTGCAAGGGTTTTAAAGGAATATAAAGATGAGCTTAGCAAACCTTTGGCTAGTCTTTTCAACATCTCACTACAAACTGGCATGGTGCCGGAAAGATAGAAAATGGCAAATGTAATACTTATTTACAAAGTAGGAGACAGGCCCTTAGCTTCGAACTATAGACCAATAAGCCTTATCTCCATAGTGGGAAAATTTATGGAATCAATAACTGCCAAGGCAATTCGTTGCAATCTTGAAAGGCATAAACTGATTAATGAATCTCAGCACGGTTTTACAAAGGGGCGTTCCTGCCTTAAGAATTTACTAACTTTATTCACCAACTTATTGTAGGAGGTAGATCATGGTAGTGAATATAATATAGACTTCAGTAAGGCTTTTGATAGAGTTCTACATCAGAAGCTACTGAGGAAAACTAAGGTACATGGAATAGGAGAAATTTTTTCCTGGGCAGAGGCAGCAGTGAGTTTGCATCAGTGAGGAGAAATCTGAGTGGGGGCATGTCACGAGTGGCGTTCCACAAGTGGCATTCTGTTCACACTTCATATAAACGGCATTGATGATGGAATAAATAGTGACATAAGCAAGTTTGTTGATGACACCAAAATAGAGCACTCCAGGAAGATTTGAATATACTGATGCAGTGGTCGGAGAAGTGGCAGATGCAATTTAATATAGACAAATGCAAAGTTCTAAACATTGGACAATAAAATAACCATTCCATATATAAACTAAATAATGTACATCTTAATATTACTGATTGCAAAAAGGATTTGGGATTTCTTGCTGGCAGTAATCAGTAATCTAAAAACAAGACAACACTGCGTAAGTGTTCGCAATAAAGCGAACAGAATCCTTAGCTTCATATCAAGGAGTATAAATAACAGGAGTTTTCAGGTTGTTCAACTCTATATATCGTTGGTTAGGCCTCCATTAGATTATGCTGCACAGTTCTGGTCACCATATTACACAATCGATATAATAGAACTAGAAAACGTACAAAGGAGGATGGCAAAGGTGATCCCACATATCAAAAATCTTCCCTATGATGATAGACTGAGGTCCCTGAATCTGTACTCTCTGGAAAGGCGTAGAATTAGGGGGGATATGATTCAGGTGTAAAAATGGAAAACAGGAATAAATAAAGAAAATGTAAATAAAGTGTTAAAAATATCTAGTTAACACCTGACTCGCAGCAATGGCTTTTAAGTTGAAAAAATTCTGATTCACGAAGGATATAATAAAGCTCTGGTTTGGTAATAGAGTTGTGGATGAGTGGAACAAACTCCCGAGTACCGCGTTGTGTACTTTCAAAAATAGGTTGGAAAATACATGAGTGGGTGTGGGTTGGTGAGAGTTGGACCTGACTAGCCTGTGCTAATAGGTCTGATGCCGTGCCTCTTCCTTACGTGGATGTGACCTGACCTGACCTGACTAGGTGGGTCATTGGTTTGGGCCGGGAGGTGACTTGGACCTGCCTCGCATGGGCCAGTAGACCTGCTGCGGTGTTCTTTCTTATGTTCTTATGAAACTCCAGGATCTCAGTGAAATTATATAAAACTACTTAGCTTTGATTCATTCAAGTGGAGGTAGGTGCCGTGATGTTGTTGGGCTCGTAACCCTTGGAAAAAGAGCCACCCTACACTTCCTCAATTCAAGGCTGATTACTTCCCATTCCTAAGGCGCCTCAGATTCGGCACTGTCACTTCCTGAGATATTCTACTTTATTACTCCCTCACTGGTAGGGTAAAGAACGTGAGAATCCTCCTTTTTACTTCTTCGCTGGGAAAGAACGCTTGTAATTTTTTTCCAACAAAGTGAAAAGACCCAAATAGAACAAATAAGACAATTCAGGTTAAAGACATCTGAATATTTCTAATTCAGAGACATTTTCTTTCTTTTTTTTTTCTTGTTTGCACCAGTCTCTTTTCCACTTTATATCTGTGTACATTTCTTGTAAAGAAGAAATGATGACCCCAGGATGCTCTTTACTACTGAAAGTTTAAAATAGGTACAAGGAAGCCCTTTTAATGCGAAATTGTAAACCGCAAGAAGCTCTACACTAGTGAAGGAGCAAAGAAACAAAGACCCACGTAACAAAAGATTTGAATATTTTGCCTTAAAATGATTCAAATATAGATTTTGAAGTAAAAGTAAATCTGTTATGGTTTTTATTCATTATTTTTTTAATTTAAAATAATTTGCAAGTGATTACATCAATTAAATTATACAAGCAATACCAAGAGGAAAACATTTTTTAATTGTGGTCTTTATGTTACGTACACTGTTTAGGCACGTGAGTATTAAAAATATATTTAATATAATAAATAATAATAATTACTAATTGATTGGTGTTAATGTTGCAGTTTTATAACTGTAGTGTAAAGCACCCCTCTGGCAAGACAGTGATGGAGTGAATGATGACGATTTTTTCTCTTTTTCGGGCCACCCTGCCTTGGTGGGAATCGGCCGATGTGTTAATAAAAATAAAATAATTACTAATGCTAATAATAAAAACATCTAATAACAAATATATAAAAAATCTTCTGGTATACAAATCATAAGGGGCTCTGGTGGCCTGGTGGTTAACGCTCTTGCTTCACACGGTGAGGGCCTGGGTTCGATTCCCAGCCAGAGTAGAAACATTGGACGTGTTTCTTTCCACCTGTTGTCTATGTTCCCCATCAGTAAAATGGGTACCTGGGTGTTAGTCGACTGGTGTGGGTCGCATCCTGGGACACTGACCTAAGGAGGCCTGGTCACAGACCGGGCCGCGGGGGCGTTGACCCCCGGAACTCTCTCCAGATAAGTAATTCAGCGAGAGATTTATTTTTCTCAGGTTGTATATTAAATGTTAAGAGTCTTGTCATCTCTACTTTAGATATTAAAGTATTTTTGTCTAGTGGTGTAAATAAATGTGTTGTGTTGACCCTAGTGTAACTGATAAGCTTTAAACCCCACTGACCAACCAAATGGTAACAATCCTAATATAAATCACGTCTCTTAAATTCAGCGAGGTAGATAAAGACCCACAAAACAAGGTCGATGCTCAACAAATTATGGGTCATGAGTATAATTTTTTATACTGTATAAGAAAAAATAACATTACCGTCAAATATTTGTCCTCATTTCAACTAAAAACAATGTCAACAATATGATTAAATGAAAGATCTTCAAAATATCTTTATTAGACAGTTTTCTACTTTTAATTATTTATGAATGCGAAAATAAAGATTTCGTTTAGGAAGAGCATTGTGCACGAGGCCTTAGCTCATATCAAGCCCAGCATTGCCAGTGGTCTTGATGACCAGGCTTTCTGTGGGCTAAACGACCATGGATGGTATGGTCACCAGACCTGGTCTATTCAACCAGGTATATTTTGTATCACAGAGGCAAACTTCATTTAAATTTCTAAATATAATTATGGGGAAAAATTATATTCGTGAATATATATTAATTTTATTAGGTATGTTTCAGCTTACATAAATTTTTGAGAATATTTTATTTAAATGTACGCTGGCCGGTGCAATAAAATGATTTACGGAATAACCTTAATGGAACCATTCCATAAGATTCGCTATTTATTTGCCATAACTTCCTCCACCACCATAGCCGCCGCCGCCGCCGCCGCCACCTCCAAAACCACCACCGAGGCTGCCGCTTCCATAGCCGCCACCGCCGCCACCGCCACCACCACCACCTGAGCCACCTCCACCAAAGAAGGCGCCTCCGCCACCTCTGCCTCCGAAACCGAAACCGCTGCCTGAAAAGCCACCGCCATAGCCTCCACCACCACCCCCGCCACCCCCACGACCCCCACCTAGGACGAAGATAAGAGAGCCGCTTCCTCCACCGCCTCCAAACCTGCCACCTCCATAGGCACCCCCACCACCACCACCACCTCTTCCTCGGCCACCTGGACTAGAGAAAGTCTTCACGGCCAGGGAAGCCACGACCAGGGTAAGTAACACCAGTTTCTGTAAAAGTGAATAATGCAAACCTACTGTAATGTTAAAAAAAATAAAGAAAAATTACCCATTTCGCTCACGTTCATAAAAAAAAAAAAAAAAAAAAAAAAAAAACGCGATGTGTCCCCAAAGAACATGTCATTCCAGTCCAGAAAAAAATATTACTGCATAACTGAACATGTAGTCAGCAAATGCAACATTTGAGGTGAAGATTTTGATAAGTTTTTCCAGGCAGTTTTTAGTCAACTGGTCTATTGTGTTCACATTAGACAGTGTGCTGCTATCACCATTAATCTAGCTTATCTACATATCTTCCAGGAGGTCTGGTTTGAGATTGGGCAACGAGAGTGATGTCACTGACACCATTAACAGGAACAGGTCGATTGCAGCAATCATGATGATTCCCAATATGAGGATAAACTTGAAAACTTTCAATTGTTCACATAATGCTATTAGTAGACAGAAAAATGTTTACTATAAACAAAAGTATTTTATATCACTAACAACATAGACTGTCTATTAATAGACTGATGCCATGACATACAAAAATATGTCACACCTCTTAATGAATTTGATGTGGTGGTTTATTCTCCAGGAAACAATATCATCACCTTAGACGATTTTTTTTTCAGATAACCCGCTTTATAGTTAATCATTTGCAGGTCTACAAATAATTTTATCTTGATACCCTTACATATCCGTAAAGGTATCAAAATAAAAAAATTCTACCCTTAGGGATTCTGTACCTCTTCATTCACATCTATTCTCAGAACGTCCTAATTCTTCATAAAATTGATTGCTCTTAAAAAGCTAGACATGTAAATACCTTACAGCATGAAGCGTAACTAGAATTTTTAAATCTTAAAACTGATATCCGTTGAGTTTTACTGCTGCCATGTTTATGAAAGAGGTCTTATTACTGCCATAAACAGCAAATGACAAACGTGACAGCAGTAATATTCATTTCAATGTCGCTGTCATATATATCACAGCTTACGTCCGTCATCTACATTACTGATCTACACTAGAACAAGGCAGTGAATATTCCAAACAATAAGAGGAATACCAAGTCTTACCATGTTGGTGTAGTCAGGAAGACCAGACAGGAATATGATGAAGAGATGTGTATACAGAGCTTATATACCACATCTGTGATAGCCCGGTCACTCAAACCTTGGAGAAGTCACTCAAACCTCGATGTTCCTTCCCTGTCTTATGTTCTCTTACTTATATTTTACAAAATGATGCATTTTTTATTATTCATCGTGTCATCCCATGTTAATATGAATGACTTGTGAATAGTGAATGACAATTATAAAATACGCAGAGCCTCTGCACTGTGATTCTTTGGATTTTGCTTGGAACAAAATTTTTGTGTTACTTTTGTATATTATTTTTTTATGTGCAATATATATCTTACGCAGTTATTATTGATACAGAACGTGAATATCTTAATAAATGTGCGACCAGCTATTAGGAACTCATAAGAGATTTTCTGGTAATTTACTGTTTAAAATACTGAAAGTATAAATATATTTTATTTCTGGAGACAAAGTATCACGAAGTATCGTAATTCTTCTCTTTCATGGAAAACCTAATTACCATTATATTGCCCTGTTTTCAATAATCGAGACACGACTGTAAATATTACAAGATATTTCATGTTTTCTTGATGTGAATTTACATAGATCGAAGCATTATATTTATTTTCATCATAATAGGTTGAGGATCTCAAGAGTTTCGAAACATATAAATATCTCGTGACGTGTCCAGTCATGTTCACAGCCTTGATGATTGTTCAGTTTACAATGACAGAAATTTTATGACCGTCTTTTATAAACTATATGCAAATACTATTTCGGATCATAGTGTCTTATTTCACTATTAGTTTTTTAATTAATTATAAATATATATTATAAATGTGGACATTTATATATATTATGAATGTTGGTGTATACAACGACAATTTAACTGGGAAGAGGCTGTTAGGAATAAAAACAAAAAAAGTGCATTATTTGGACACTTTCGTAATTTTTTAAATATAAAAAAGTGTGCATTATTTGTGTATTGTTCCTTGACTGGAATGACTGGAGCAATGCACAAATAATGCACGGTTAGGAAAATCTTCAAGATGTCTTCTGGTTCTGAGTTTCTCTCTTACTTCTGACTTACAAAGATTGTTATAGCTTCTTTCCTATGTGCGGGTCACTTGTGAAGTGGATGTGAAACACAAATGCTGATCAAGACAAGTGGATGTAAAACACACATGCTGATCAAGACACAAGTGGATGTGAAACACACATGCTGATCAAGACACAAGTGGATGTAAAACACACATGCTGATCAAGACACAACGGTTAGGTTAGATAAGATTCGTCAGGAAACATTACACGTGTTTCCTGAGGCGGGTCTTATAGTGACCCCACAGCTGGAGCTATTAGTCATCTGACCGAGGCCTTCCACTGGCTTCCCGGTTCACCCCTTCAAAAACTGTAGGAAACATTTTAACCATTTAACAATCGGAGAACGGAAATCATTACTTAAACAGCGTTTCCCTTGGAGACCAAGCTTATTATTTGTTTATAGACCGGGCCGCGGGGGCGTTGACCCCCGGAACTCTCTCCAGGTAAACTCCAGGTAATAGTTAAATTTTGTACATAAGAAAATGGCAGATTTTCTAGGGATGACCGGGAAAGCTGCAAACTGACTACCAAAGGATTGCTTGTGAGTGTAGGTTCTGTGTAGTATTCGTCAGGAGATAAAAGCAACTATCAAGAGTCTATGGTCCTATTCCCTCACTGCCGCTTCACTAACGTGAAAGTCGCATGTGAGGAAACTGTACCCAGACATCCATATTTCCTTGTTACAATAATCTTTCATAAATGTCTCTGTGAAAGCCGCAAACAATGCATTTCATTCAGCGAATCCATTGTATTTTGTTTTTACTTGTTTTAAGACCTTGTATGTTAGATAAGACAAGAACAGATAAACCAATGCTCCATCTAGTATAATTAATTCAAGAGAACCTAAGACCTGTCATGATAGTCAAGGTCTTAGTGACGTGGCTCTCACAGGTCTGGTATATAAGCTCGGCATTAAACACGTCTTCATCATACTCCTGTCTTGGCTTCCCACCTGACGATGGTAAGACTTCCTAGTCCTCTCATTGCTTGTACTGTGTCAATATTAATAATCGAAGATGTTTATGGCAGCAGTATCACCTTATTGATAAGTTTGAAATCAGTAGCAGTCACCGGATGCAGATAACTGCTAAGTGATAACATCAGGTCTAAACAATCACTTCTTTAGGAACTTGTTCCCTTCATGAACTACTTTTAAAGACCACCTAATTTTATGAGGAAATATAACTTACGATAAGAGTTACCTTAAGCACGAACAGTGATATGTGACAGGATGATATGAAACATGAGAGATAAACTTTGGTCGATTCTCTCTTGTCAGGAGTACGATGAGGATGAAATATGAGAGGTACAAAATATGTAAGTATGGATAATCGAACATCAGCAGGAATTGATGAGATCTGAAGTGGAGGAAGAAATATGAAGTAGACGAAAAATAAGAGACGATAAAGTATTTTAGGGAAGCTGAATTGCTGGACATATTACAGTGTTAATAGAATATTTTCTCTTTTTTTATGACTATATCTTCTATTGATAAAATATTGAGAAGTTTAAAAACAGTTGTTCCTCGTCCCGGAGTCATTTGCTATGGACGCTCAGATCCTTCTAAATATTGATACAAATTATTTTCCATGCTCACACAATACAGATTTATCCAGTATTTATACTTCTAAGTTAACATTAAAAAAAAACGGACGGAATTAACTTTGCTTTCTTTTGTATGCAAGTTAACTCTGGTCAAGTTATTGACAGATACAATATTTTGTATTTTCTTTTTTATTTTGCAGAAGTTGATGTTCTTCGCCCTGGGTGTGGCTTGTTTCGCCGTGTCCAGTCTCGCGAGACCTGGCTTCCGTGGAGGTGGCGGAGGTGGAGGTGGCGGTGGTGGCTACGGAGGCAGCGGTGGTGGCTTCGGCGGCGGCGGCGGCGGCGGTGGTTATGGAGGGGGCTTTGGTGGAGGAACGGCAGTTGTCACCTTTAATCTAGGTGGAGGTCGTGGAGGTGGCGGTCGTGGAGGTGGCGGTCGTGGAGGCGGCGGTCGTGGAGGCGGCGGTCGTGGCGGGGGATACGGAGGTAGTGGAGGATTCTCCAGCTTCACCCTCGGAGGTGGAGGAGGCCGCGGTTTCGGAGGTGGTGGAGGGGGTTATAGCGGTGGTTCGTCAAGCAGCGGTTTCATCCGCGGAGGCCATGGAGGTGGTGGAGGGGCCTTCTTTGGAGGCGGGAGCTTTGGTGGTGGCGGCGGGAGATATGGAGGAAGCTCTGGTGGCGGCTTCGGAGGTGGTCGTGGTGGCGGCGGTGGAGGCTTTGGTGGTGGTGGTGGTAGAGGTGGCGGATATGGTGGTGGTGGCAGGGGTGGCGGAGGAGGCTATGGCAAATAAAATGGCAATAATTTAGATTTATATGATTTAGTCCATTCTGTTTTCTCCGATTTATTGAGAAAAAAAAAAGAGAATGTATTTAATAAACAAAATTTTGATATATAAGTTTTTTTTCTCAACAAATAAGAAACAATTCTTTTTCAAGAATACAGATACATATGCTGTACGGCAAATGGCATGGTGAAACATGCATTTACAAACTGGAAAAGAGCACTTGCGTACGGTTCGCTACATTTGTTTAAAGGACATATTTCGCCACAAATTGCTTCACTATTAGGACTAATGAATCCACTCGTGGCTACACATTTCCACTAATAAATGTCCTTAACTATACCCAAGTGTCCTTTTTCAAAGAGATATGTCTGGTAGGAACATTAATCGCGTTAATACTTACACGACTCACGAACTCGTAATAACAGTTAAGTAATTAGTAACAAGAATTTTAGCGATTATCGAAATGATTGATATATCATATCCGTGGGAACATTTTTATTTGTGAATGCAAGACTCCATAATGTAGTTCTATATTTTCCTTGGTAAGTTCATGAGCGATGAGTTAGAGCTCAGGAGTGATGAGCTGATGTGAAGACCACAGCAAAAATTAATTCCTGAAGAAAATAAGTCTCACTACAACAAAATCTATATCGTTATTACATAAAAATCAGTAAAATTGCAACACCCACAGAAAGCAGCCTAGTTATGAGCACCTAGGCTGACGCGATGTATGTTGCCTTAAGAGTCCATGACGATGTTAGTAAACTGGCAGGTGACACCGAAACGTTGTTGACAAATATGACAAAATGCAAACTCAAAGATATTTTATTAGAATATTTCATTCCTGGGAACTTGGTTACTATGTGGTCTTTACATTTAGGGTGAACAAGCTTCTAAAGCAAAAACTTTGTCTATAAAATGTCCTAGTGTTTGCAGTGTCTCTTTTCAACAATAATGTGCTCTACTGAACGTGCCACTTGTAACAAATGCATTTTCAGCGTTAGATTGTATTTAACCAAAAGTTAAACCCGTGTTGGTTATTAACGCAATGTAGAGTGGAGGCTCGATCCTCCAACCACTCAAGTTATTGGTGATCACAGGTATTTACTTAAGAGACTATGAACCTCAAACATTTAAGGGAAACGAATTCATTTTATAGAATTATTTTTATATTAGGCTTTTTTTTAATTATATCACGAAATTTAGAGTTACCTGTATTTTTTTGGTATAATATTTATAGCATTCACGCCTAGAGAGAATACAGTATATCAATAGCATAGCCTATGGTGTATAAATATACCTAATTGAATGAATTTTATTGTGGCTAGCTGGCCCAGTGGCTAACCCGTTGATCTGGAGTTTTGAGATTCTCTGATCGCGGGTTCTAACCCCGCCCGTGGTACTGTTTAATCGCAGTGTTGTTATTGATATATATATATATATATATATATATATATATATTATATATATATATATATATATATATATATATATATATATATAAGTGGAACCCCTAATATCGGCCGTAATCCGTTTCAGAAGGTCGGCCTAAATTCGAAGCAATATTTCCCATAAGAATTAATGTAAATACAATTAATCTGTTCCAGACACCAAAAAATATTAACAAAAAAATACATTTTTTAAAAATTAATTATAGTTTTACATGCACAAAACAATGAGAACTAAATAAAATAAATAAATAAACATTTAAATCACTATTACATACCTTTATTGAAGACTCTTGTTGGCTTATGGAAGACAGGGAGGAGGAGAGATGGAGGACTGATTATTGTTTGGAAGGGGAATCTCCCTCCATAAGGACTTCAGGTATCAAAGTCCTCTCTGGGGTTACTTCCCTCCCTACCTGCTACACACCCTGCATGCCTGCTACACTCCCTGCCTGCCTGCTATACTCCTTGCCTCCCTTCCACACTCCCTGCATACCTGCTATGCTCCCTGCCTGCCTGCTACACTCCCTGCCTCCCTTCCACACTCCCTGTTTCCCAGCTACACCCCTGCATGCCTGCTATACTCCCTGCCTGCCTGCTACACTCCCTGCCTGCCTGCTACACTCCCTGCCTCTTTCCACATCTTCAATGTGATCTCTTTTTCATTGACATGTTTACCCCTTTTGCCACATCAGCTTCCTTGACTTGTTCTTTCTTTGCCTGGATAGAAGTGATTGTTGATTTGTCTTTGCCATACATCCTAGCAAGCTAGAGCACACACACTTAATATTATTATTATAATCAAGGGGGAAGCGCTAAACCCGGAGGATTATACAGCGCCTGGGGGGGGATGTGGAAGGCATTCAGGCTTAATTTGGGGAACTGGAGCACAGATCCAATTCCCTAAATCAAGAGCCCCTCACCAACATCAAGGAACCTTCCTTGAGGGGACACACACTTAATAAACAAACACAAAAAACAGTGAATTTTAAAGAAATGTTAGGATGAATGCTCTGAGTATATGCTCATTCTCTGAGACACACACGGAGACTGAATCACCTACACACAGCATACCAGCTAAGGCAGGCTGATGCGTCTAATACGGCCGATTTGCGAGGCACCGGCCGAAATATGGAGCAAATTTTCTGCCCAAAAACCAGCCTAAATACGATTCAGCCGATATATATATATATATATATATATATATATATGCATGCTGATAGTTTCACACAAATAATTGTGCAGTGTTAATGACCCTAGTGTCGCCGATAAGTTTTAAACCCCATTAACTAACCAGTTCATAACAATCGTAACGTATATCACATCTCGAAAACTCAGCGAGGTAGATACACTCCCATAAAACAATGTTGGAGGTCAACAAAATATCGAACACGAGTAATTTTTCTTATACTTTAAAGTTTAAAGGAAAAAAAATTAAGTATTTTTGTTCGCATTTCAACTGACAAGACTGTAATCAGTATCATTAGCTGATAAGTCTACAGTATTTCATTAGACGGGTTTCTTCTGTTCACTGCTTATGAATGCGAGAATAGAAGATTTGTTTCAGGAAGAGCATTGTGCACAAAGCATTGCCAGACTGGTCTTGTTCTGTGGACTAAACGACCAGGGATGGTATGGTCTTATCGACCAGGTTTATTGTGTATCTCATATACTTTCCTTAAAACTGTACATAAAATTAAGGGAAAAATTATTTTCTTCTGTATATTATGATTTTATTTCAATTATTTCAGCTTACATGTATTTTCGAGAATACTCTTTTTTAAATGTCAGCTGGCCACAAGAAGATAAAGGCTCGTGGAATAACCTGAATGGCGTCATTCCATAATATTTAATGTTCATTTGCCATAACTTCCACCACCACAGCCTGCGTCGCCACCGTCGCCGCCACCATGACCACCTCCAGACCCACCACCGCCACCACGACCGCCTCCAAAGCCACCACCGCCAAAGCTACCAAATCCTCCTTTGCCTCCGAAGTTAATTAAAACCGCTGCTTGACAAGCCAGAGCTATAACAGCCGCCACCAAGACCACCACTACAACCACCACCGAAGTTGCCACCAGAACCGCCGCCATAGCTGCCACCACCACCACTGGAGGCACCTCCACCAAAGAAGGCGCCTCCGCCATCTCCATTTCCTCCATGACCCCCATCTAGGTTGAAGATAACATAGCCGGTTCCTCTACCGCCTCCAAAGCTGCCTCCTCCATAACCACCGCTACCACCATTGCTTCCTCGGCCACCAAAACTATTGAAGCTGGTCACAGCCAGGAAACATGCGCCCAATGTAATACCAATTTCT